GTTAAGGTGCTTTACCAAGATGCTGTCTCACACGTCATGGGAGAATGCACCATGTCAGCAAACTTCCCTCTATCCAGCTTTCTGTTCTGACCCCTCCAGATGCACTACCAATGTCTCCACAATTAAGTCCTGAGTCTTACTTTTCTGGAAGGAGATGTAGGTCTCTAATCATTGTGTTGGAAGCCTCTGGCATTCACAGAATGCTCTGAGCGGATGGCTTACATGAGCCTGTCAGCCAATCTGTTTCTTCAAAGCTTTCAAGTCTGTTACAAAAGCCAGGCAACCTCCCAATGCTTACAAGGACCAGTAACATACCCCATTTCAGGGATAGAGCTAATGCACATGCCACCACCAACCCCAACCCCCTTCCGCCTGTACCTCCTCCAAGTCCAGCACAGGGGAGGGCCTTAGTGTTTGCATTGCATCACCACCCACATAGCACCAGCTGCAGGGTCCTTGCTGCTGTTTGACATGTATGAGAAATCCAGGTACAGACTCACATCCTGAGCATCTGCTGTGCAGGCCACACCTTCATCTGGGTTCCTCTGGAAGCATAACATGAAATAGGGGCTCCAGTGCAGGTGGTCTGAAAAGTAACTCAAGAGTGCAGAACACCTCTTGCCAAAACCGGTTTGGCTCAGTGGATAGAGTGTTGGCCTGCGGACTGAAAGGTCCCAGGTTTGATTCCAGTTGGGGGCATGTACCTTGGTTGCAGGCATATCTCCAGTAGGGGGTGTGCAAGAGGCAGCTGATCAATGCTTCTCTCTCTCATTTATGTTTCTGACTATCCCTCTCTCTTCCTCTCTGTAAAAATTCAATAAAAATAAAAAATAAAAAGAGTGCAGAAATGAGAGACAGGTAGAAAGAAGCAAAAGCCTATATCAGGACGTGTGTTGTGGTTCTCACTCTATGTAACAGCCATGATTCTGCCAAGATCATTTTTCAGAGTAATGAGTAATCTAGTGATCTCCAAAGATGACCAGTGAATTCCCCCCCTCTGTGTATGGTTACAAACTCATAGCTGTTAATATCTATACAACTCCCCCCTCCCCCTGTTGATATATCTCTAAAGTCTCTCTCTCTCAAAATATAAAAAATAAAAAATGCTCAAGTATTTCCACCTGGGGCAGTGGAGCCTTCACAATTCAACCCCATGTCCTACACGTAACCAAGCCCCTGGTCCCGTGGTTCTCCCTGCTGTCCACTGCCCAACCCGTCACCACCATGATCCAGATCTCTGCTACCTGTTTTGCCACTTCAATAAAAGGCCAGAGTCCTGAATGTTTGAAAGCACTCATTGGATCCTACCGTTCTTCTGTTTAAGTTGCTCTCCACAGCTCTTGGCATAAAGTCCAGGCCCTTGAACTTGGAGGTCAGGGCTCATTCCATCTTGCCCCTGCCCATCTCTGCTTCAGTGGCTGCCATGCTCCATCTGTACTGAGATCTGCAGCCCTCTCCCTTCCCTGCGCCTGCCCTCTCTGCCAGTGTCACAAGGAGTTTCCTCTGCCTACATCACCTTTCCCTGTGGTCTGCTCTACTTCATCCTAGGGTTCCATTTAGGCCAGTAGTTTTCTTTGTCTCCCTCTTTCTCTTTCTCTCTCTCTCTCTCTCTCTCTCTCTCTCTCTCTCTCTCTCTCTTTCTTTAACATATATTTTTATTGATGTCAGAGAGGAAGAGAGATGGAAAGAGAGAAACATCAATGATGAGAGAAAATCATTGATTGGCTGCCTTTTGCACACCCCCCACTGGGGATTGCACGCAACCCAGGCATGTGTTCTGACTGGGAATCGAACCTGGGATCCTTTAGACCACAGGCCGATGCTCTCCACTGAACCAAACTAGATAGGGCCAATAGTTCTCTCTTTAAAAAAAAAATAATTTTTTTTAAAATTGATGTCAGAGAGGAAGAGAGAAGGAGAGAGAGATAGAAACATCAATGATGAGACTCTGATCCACTGCCTCCTGCATGCTCCCTACTTGGGATGGAGCCTGCAACCCAGACATGTGCCCTGACCAGGAACGGTGACCTCCTTGTTCAAGGGTTGACACTCAATTATTGAGCTACACCAGCTGGCAGGCAGGCCAGTAGTTCTCAACTCTGCTGCACATTACATCATCTGGGCAGTTTTAAGAAATACCAGTGCCTGAGCTATTCCTAAGATCAATTAAAATCTGAATGTCTGGAGCGTGAGGCCTGACTTTGCTATTTTAAAACTGCAGGTGAATCAGACGTGTGGCCAAGGTTGAGAACCACAGTTTGTTCCTTCCTCTGGGAAACTTCCTCTTGCCACTTCCCTCCGTGTCCCCCCAGCCCCTCATGCCTGGGTTACATGTCATTGCGTACTGCTGTAACATTCTGCTCAAATCCTTTTATTCCCAGCTTTATTGAAACGTAACTGATGGGTAGCATTGTGTACGTTTAAGGTGCACAACGTGATGGTCTTATCTTTATCATCTAGGCCTCACTAGGTTACCCCTCGGGTTTCTTCCTTGTTAGATGGAAGCATGGAGGTTGTGGTCACATCTGTGTTGTCTGTGCTTACTCAGCACACAGTAGGTACTTGGTAATATTTCTAAACGGATGGTAGGGAGCTATTTGGGCTGGATTTTGAGGTTGTTTTAAATACAGGATGGGGCCGAGACTGGTTTGGCTCAGTGGATAGAGAGTTGGCCTGCGGACTGAAAGGTCCCAGGTTCGATTCCGGTCAAGGGCATGTACCTTGGTTGCAGGCACATCTCCAGTAGGGGGTGTGCAGGAGGCAGCTGATCAATGATTCTCTCTCATCGGTGTTTCTAACTCTCTGTCCCTCTTCCTTTCTTTCTGTAAAAAATCAATAAAAAATATTTTAAAAAAAAATAATAAATAAATAAATACAGGATGGGGCTCCACTGTGTGGGACAAAAGCCAGATTTTATCATCCACCAACATAGTATCTCATCAACTCTTCCCTGGCTTTTTGGAATCTCTTCTCCTAGACATGCAGACTTCAAACAGCCCCTTCCTTTTCCCCACTTCTGCCCAAAGTTGCTTACTTCCTTCAGACTTGTTTGTTCAAAGAACATTCCCAACTCCTAGGCCACCCTTGAACTACCAAACTTGTGAGAAATCCTTATTTGACACTTCACCATACTCATGCACTGAAAATGTTTTCAAAATTGGGGCACCTGACCCTAGCTGGTTTGGCTTAGCAGATAGAACGTTGGCCTGCGGACGGAAGGGTCCAGGGTTTGATTCCAGTGAAGGGCACATGCCTGGGTTGCGGGCTTGATCCAATCAATGGAGGCAGCCAATCAATGATTCCCTCTCATTGTTGATGTTTCTATCTCTTCCTCTCTGAAGTCAATAAAAAAATATTTTTTAAAAATTGGGGCACCTGGTATATACAATTATTTTTGTGAGTTTCTTGAGGAGTATCTTGCCTCTGAATGGAAATTAAAGCCTTGGTTTACTAGAAGAATAAATTGTCATTAAAATGATTATTTTATGATTATTTATGCATTCTTATTTTGGGGTAGCTTTAGTGAGATGTAATTCACATACAGTAAAGCTTCCCATTTGTCCCAAAGCAATCTATTTGGAGTGTTTTATCTTACAGTCAGTGTTCGATGCCCTTGTTGGACTTCAGATATGATGTCAAGACCTGCCCCCGCGTCCCTTCCCCCCTCCCTCCCGCCCAGAATGTGATGCTGCTGTGAAAAAAAGCTTTTTTTAAAAAGTTCATATTGGGATCTTTGAAAGCCTAAAAATGCACAAGGAATCTTACCAACGTTTCTGGTAGGTCTACTCCTGTTGCTGCCTTTTTCATCCACCAGGGGGCAGTATTTCCCTCTGCCTGTTGGCCTCTCTTTTTTTTTTTTTTTTTTTTTTTTAATATATTTTATTGATTTTTTACAGAGAAGAAGGGAGAGAGATAGAGAGCTAGAAACATCGATGAAAGAGAAACATCGACCAGCTGCCTCTTGCACATCCCCCACCGGGGATGTGCCCGCAGTCAATATACATGCCCTTGACCAGAATCGAACCTGAGACCTTTCAGTCCGCAGACCAATGCTCTACCACTGAGCCAAACCGGCTTCGGCTGGCCTCTCCTTTGAGATCCTAGCATTTCAGGTATCTGCCAAGTGTTTCTCATAAATTGGTTTGACCGCTGGAAATACATGTTACATTGCAACCACGTAGAGACCTATGTACATATACAATTCTATGTATATACATATGACAAAAGTTTCATAAAATAACACTTGTCTTTACTGGGTGCAATACATTCTATTTTCTAGTCTCTTTTATTAGCAAAAGGTGCCCATCATCACTCAGCCCGAGTTCCTGGCTCACAAACGGGGCCGCAGCCCACAATGTGAGAAGTATTGCTTTAGAGTTCACTTAGTGTGACATCCTTCCTGTTTAGGATGAAAGGAGGGGGTACAGAGGGACCTGCCCAGGTTCCACCCAGGTGAACACCTAGGATGAGGCTTGACCACTTCTAATCTATTGCTTTCAGCCCAGTAACATTACTGTTGAGGTACATCCAGTGCTCTGGCAGGTCACAGCCATAGGGAGGGTGGAATGCGTGTGTGTGTGTGCGTGTGTGTGTGTCTGTGTGTGTGAGTGTGAATGTGTGTGTGTGTGTGTGTGTGTGTGTGTGTGCTGTATTCCTGGCATACTGGGCTTTGCTACACCAAGAGAAGAGTCGCCGCCAGCAGGGTTTTCCCTTCGGAGATAGAATTCCTACATCTCAGCCACCACCGACTGTCAGATCGGTGCTGGGCTCTGGAAGATGAGCCCTGTGGAGTCCTGCCCGTGGGTCCTGTGTGGTGATTCTGTTACCCGAGTGCCAACCTGGCATCGCTGTGCTTTGTTCTGTAGCCCAGAACCCAAGCATTCACTCCATCAACATAGCACGCGCATTGAATAGGCAGGGGGACCCTTGCCAATCTCACAGTGCCTACCCCCGGAACGCTGCAGGCCAGGCGCTCACGTGGTCTCACCCTCGCTCTGTAGAATGCCTCCCGGAGGACGTTCGAGATCGACTACGACCACGACTGCTTCCGCAAGGATGGCCAGCATTTCCGCTACATCTCGGGCAGCATCCACTACTTCCGTGTGCCCCGCTTCTACTGGGAGGACCGGCTGTTGAAGATGAAGATGGCTGGGCTGAACGCCATCCAGTTGTAAGTGGGAGGGCCCCGGGCTCTCCCCTGGGCCCGGACACCCACACCTGGAGAGAGGGAAGGGCTGCGTTTCTCGGCGCAGCTATTGCATTGCTCAGGGTGGGAAAGGGTGTTGTCCTGGGATCTGGGAGGGGGTTCTCGTGAGCGTGATTGGCCCTCCTTCAGGCAATTCATCAGCTCTCCCAATCTTGAATGTCATCGCAGAAATCATACATTGAGTTTCAGCTTAAAAGGGCAAAGGGAAGTAAGTATCGATGATAGAGCGTCCACCAGGTGCAGGGCACTTGACATGGATGATTCCATTTCTTCAAGGTATTACCATTCCCGTGCACAGCTGGTGACATTGAAATTTGCCCGAGCACGTATGTTTGGCCAGAGATCCATCTAGGATTTGAAGATAAGGGTGTGTTTTTTTTTAAGTAGTTACAACGTCTCTCAGCTCTTAGGGGGATATTCCTTGTTAGGTAGATTCCAGAAACCCAGCCTGTTTTCAGGGTCCATGCTGTTGCCTGGGGTTGTAGCATTACCCGGGGAGCTATCTCTCCTCATCTCTCTTCTTTGCTGTTGCAAGGTGACTAATTGGGAAGAACTGGGGTGGCTGGCCACTCTGGTTTTTGCGCTGCTGCTGATGTGAATTGCCGATAACTTTGCAAAAAACTAGAGAGTGAGAAAAACCCAGAGGCAGATTCCTGGGACAGATAATTTAGGGGGAACCCCACTTGTTTTTCTGGTTCGAAGGCCACTGGGGTCTGTCTGCAGTTTCAACCCTTTGTTCAAGGGAACCGAGACTATCTGTGGCAGGGGACCCTGAAAGCTTAGGATGGTGGAAAGAGGACACAGCCAGCCCAGCCCATGCGGCTCAGTGGTAGAGCATCGACTTATGAACCAGGAGGCCATGCTTCAATTTCCAGTCAGAACACGTGCTTGGTTTGTGAGCTCCATCCACAGTAGGGTACGTGCAGGAGGCAGCCAATCAATGATTCCCTCTCATCATCAATGTTTCCATCTCTCTCTCCTTCCTCTCTGAAAGCAATAATAATATTAAACATTTAAAAAGGACACAAAAATAAATAAAATAAAAAGAAGGACACAGTCAGGGTCATCAGAGAGACCTCTGTGATGGCCATGGGTGGCTTTGCCTTTGAATTTATATTCCATGCTGAAGGCAGTCAGGGAGGTCCCTGGGGGCTTTTGTCATTTTACTTCCTGCGTCGTGTCCCTGCCTGACAAAGTCTTCCGTCAGGAGGAGAAAGGGGTTGAAGCTTTCTCCATTTTTATTAAAAAGTACTTTTCACAAGATACGTGTAGCCATGCATGATGGCGTTTCGGTCAATGACAAACCTGCTGTATGCTAGCGGTCCCATAAGATATGACGGAACTGTGCAGTTTCTGTCACCCACTGCCGTCACAGCCATTGCAACATGGAAGCGAACACATTCCTCGTGTGATGGTGGTTATGCTGGTGTGAATACTCTGGTGCTGCCAGTCGGAAGTGTAGCACATACAATTATGTACAGTACCTAATGCTTGGTAATGATAGCCAGTGGCCACATTACTGGTGAATGTATTTACTATACTATACTTTTTAGTGTTATCTTAGGGTGTACTATTTCTACTTTGTTAAAAAAAAAAAAAAAGAGTTTGCTGTAAAAACAGTATGCCATGTTACCGTGTCTCTCTCTTTAAAAAAAAAAAAAAAAAAGTTTTTTTAATTGATTTCAGAGAGAAAGGGAGAGGGAGAGAGAGAGAGAGAAACATCAATGCTGAGAGAGAATTGTTGATTGGCTCCCTCCTGCACGCCCCCTACTGGGGATAGGGCCCGAAACCCAGGCATGTGCCCTTGACTGGATTCAAACTTAGGACCCTTTATTTATTTATTTTTAAAAATATATTTTATTGATTTTTTTTTACAGAGAGGAAGAGAGAGGGATAGAGAGTCAGAAACATCGATGAGAGAGAATCATCCATCAGCTGCCTCTTGCACACTCCCCACTGGGGATGTGCCTGCAACCAAGGCACATGCCCTGACTGGAATCGAACCTGGGACCCTTCAGTCTGCAGGCCGACGTTCTATCAACTGAGCCAAACCGGTTTCGGCCAAACTTAGGACTCTTTAGTCCAGAGGCCAACACTCTATCCACTGAGCCAACCTGGCTAGGACTACCATGTCTCTTATTGCTATTTGTTCTCTCCTGCTTGATTTAATTACATGTGATTTTGCTGTACAGGCTTGTAGCCTTCGAGCGGTAGGCTAGACCTGTGGTCGGCAAACTGCAGCTCGTGAGCCACATGCCGTTCGTGAGCTGTGGTTTGCCACTCTGTTGACTGATGAGTTTGCCAACCACTGGGCTAGATCATCCAGGTTTATCAGTGTACTCTATGATATTTGCACAACAACAAAATCGCCTAATGACACATTTCTCAGAACCTATCCCCATCATTATGTGGTTCTGAATATATATATATATATATATATATATATATATATATATATATATATAATTTTCTATATAATAAAAGCCTAATATGCAAATCGATCTAACAGCAAACGGATCGGTGGAATGACTGCTCATTATGATGCCATACTGACCACCAGGGTGCAGCAGCTCAGTGCAGGAGCTGCCCCCAGCCCACAGGCCTCAGGCCAGCCAAGGCAGGTGCCAGTGCCCCCCTCCCCACATGTGTCCCCCCCCTCCCCACATGTTCGCCCTGCAGGTCACCCTGCAGAGGAAGGTGGCCGGTGATGGTGGCGGGGGATGGGGTCGGCAAGTGGGTGGCGCCAGGCCAACCAAGGCAGGTGCCAGTGGGGGCCCCCCAGTTGCCTCACAGAGGGAGGCGACCAGTGGCAGGGGCGGGGCCTAGGAACAAGTGGTGACCGGCCAGCCAAGGCAGGTGCCAGCAGGGGGTTCCCTGATTGCCCTGCTGGTCGCCCCACAGACAGGCCCTGATCGCCAGCCAGGCCAAAGGACCCTACTCATGCATGAGTTTTGTGCACCAAGCCTCTAGTCTATATAATGTATATCGTACTTTACCGTAGATATTTTCACTTTTCCTGAGCTTTTCACGGGTATATATAACTTCTACATATTAATAATTCGTGTTCATATAATTCTGTATCTTTCTTCAAGTCAAGCGGTCAATAGGAATGGACATTCTTGTGGGTCATAAACTTGAAAGTATGCTCCCCGCCCTCCACCTCCACCCCCACATTTGATTCGCTTGGGTAGCCGCTGTGAAAACTCGGGAAACAAGGCCCGTTTCCCGAGAGGCTGCCTGAGGGAGAGGTCTGTGCCTCCTGCACATTGATAGCTCTGCAGACGTTCACGTAGGACATCTGGACTTCTGAGCTCTCTCCAGGAAGGGGCTGTGTGTGTGTCTTGGCAGCTACGTGCCCTGGAACTACCACGAGCCCCAGCCGGGAAAGTACCAGTTTTCCGAGGAGCACGATGTGGAGCATTTTATCCAGCTGGCGCAGGAGCTGGGGCTGCTGGTCATCCTGAGGCCCGGACCCTACATCTGTGCGGAGTGGGAGATGGTGAGTGCGGCCAGGCGGGGCTCTGCCTGCCTGCTGGGTGTGTGACCCTGCTGGGCTGGCAGGCAGGGAACCAGGGGGAAGGGAGCTCAAGCCGTTTAAGTAAGACTCTAGGTCCAGAGAGCGTGGAGCCTGTGACGGGAGCCACACAGGTGTCTTTCCCCTTAGGAGATGCCTGAGCGGAGGGGAACGGGTAAGGGTCAGAGGTGTGGGTCCTCCTTGCTGGTCATCACAGAGCTCAGTTTCCTCATCTGAAAAAAAGCAGGTAATGGTGGGGGCTCCGTCAGCCTCACAGGCTAGCGGTGCAGTTACGTGGAATCAACCCATAGCTGAGGCTTTGATTCTCAGACCATCAGTATTCGCAAAGAGTGACCTTAGCCCTGGCCGGTTTGGCTCAGTGGATAGAGCGTCAGCCTGCGGACTGAGGGGGTCCCAGGTTTGATTCCGGCCAAGGGCACATGCCTGGGTTGCAGGCTTGATCCCCAGTGGGGGGGCATGCAGGAGGCAGCTGATCATGATTCTCTCTCATCATTGATGTTTCTGTCTCTCTCCCTCTCTCTTCCTCTCTGAAATCAATAAAAATAGTTTTTTAAAAAAGAGTGACCTTAGTTTTACCACGTTACAATTCCCAATTTCCCTGATAAGTCTCCAGATTAGAAAGCCCAACTCAGAATACCGCTTCTCCATGGAACCTTCCTTCCCTCACTGCTAGCAGTAATTTCTCTCTCCCCAGAGTGCCTTTCACGAAATGGACCTTACTTTGTCTGCTTCTTTTCTTTCCTTCACCCTAGGGAGGATTGCCTGCGTGGCTCTTAGAGAAGGAAAAAATTGTTCTCCGTTCGTCTGATCCAGGTGAGTTGTGACCGATGCCTCGAGAGGATGTCTGAACGCGTAGACAACGTATGTCGTGAGAATCAGGTGTTTGGAAGGCTGGGGGACTTCTGTGCAGACATTTCTGAAAGTGTAGTGAAAGTGTTTATCGCTATCCACAGCAGAACGCCAGGCGTTGACGGGTAGGAAACAGGCTTTCTGGAACTTGACCAGATCTTGCTGACAAACTGATAACTCTTTGAATTGGCAACGGGCCCTGCTTGCGGTTGACCGACTGACTTGAGTGCTTTCTCCTCCTGCATTCTTAGAACATTGCATCTAGCCGATCCCCATGGCAGGCGCAGTGTCTGGAAAGGTGTCGCTGGATTGCTCGGTAGCTGAGATGCACTCTGTCCCTTTATCTCCACTTGCAGATGTAAATGATAGGTCTTCAGTTCTTGACTTTTTAAACCACTAGGTGTGAATTTAGCTGTCATCCCTGACTCACTGCATTTCTATCTTCTGAGGACTTCAGTTTGTCTTGGTTGGGGGGTGGGGGGATGAAGGTGGCAGCTGACACGGGTTAAGGTCACTGTGGAAAAGGGCCAGTGCTGGTGCTCTGGGCACATTTCCTTCTGAGTGTATTCCCCTCCCATTTTGCACCCCTAGTATAGGATTAGTGTTTTTATATGCATTATCTCACTTAATCCGGCAACATGGCCGGCAACTTTATATTATCCCCATCAGACAATGTAAACATACAATTTATTGGAGCTTAATTGAAAAAAAGAAAAAAACCTACTGTGACAGAGAGGAGGACACACCCTTCAGTCATTCGTTTCTTGCTTTTTTTTTTTTTTTTTAACCAATATATATTTTTTATTGACTTTTTACAGAGAAGAAGGGAGAGGGATAGAGAGTTAGAAACATCGATGAGAGAGAAACATCGATCAGCTGCTGCCTGCACACCCCCTACTGGAGATGTGCCCGCAACCAACGTACATGCCCTTTACTGGAATCGAACCTGGGACCCTTGAGTCCGAAGGCCAATGCTCTATCCACTGAGCCAAGCCAATTAGGACACTCTTTTCTTTTTTGCTGTTTGTTGTTGTTGTTAATCCTCACCAGAAGATATTTTTTCCCATTGATTTTTAGAGATAATGGGAGAAGGGAGGAAGTGAGAGAGACAGAGAGAGAGGTGCGGGGGAGAAAAGTGAGAACTATCAATATTAGAAAGACACGTCGATTGGTAGCTTCTCGCGAGCACTCCAGCCGGGGCTAGGGATCAAACCTGCAACCCAGGTACATGCCCTTGACCCTCCGGTCTGCAGATCAACGCTCTAACCGCTGAACATCACCAGCCAGGGCTCAGTCGCTCTTTTCTCCACTCAACACACACTGGCAGGCTGCCCCAGGCTTTCTGTCCTAGCTGCAGGGGCCGATACCCGGCAAACTGCTCCTTGTCCACAGGGAGCTCAGCTGAGGAGACGGCTCCTTGCACAACAACTTTTATCCGACCCATGGGACATGTAGCTGCCCTGTTTCAGAAGGCACGTTTTGAACCCAGTATATTCTGATCTCAGCTGGCAGCCCCAGAGTAATGAGGCTGAGTGGTGTCGATTAGTGCTAATAAGGTTGAGTTGTGTCTATTGGCGCTGAAAGGTGCATGATGGTGTTAAACCTGTCTTGCGTTCCAGATTACCTGGCAGCTGTGGACACATGGTTGGGGGTCCTTCTGCCCAAGATGAAGCCTCTCCTCTACCAGAATGGAGGGCCGATTATAATGGTGCAGGTAACCATGGAGATGAGCATGGGCTGGCAGGGCGCGAGGGCTTCCATCCAGTCACAGTAATTATAGGAGGGGTGTAGGCCTGGGCTGCATAAGTCTGTGTCTCTGAGAGGCAAAGTCACAGATGGTGCTTTGATTTAAACTGCATTTGGGCCGAAACTGGTTTGGCTTAGTGGATAAAGCATCAGCCTGCGGACTGAAGGGTCCCAGGTTCGATTCCGGTCAAGGGCATGTATCCTGGTTGCACGCACATCCCCAGTAGGGGGTGTGCAAGAGGCAGCTGATCAAGGTTTCTCTCTCATCGATGTTTCTAACTCTCTATCCCTCTCTCTTCCTCTCTGTAAAAAATCAATAAAATATACTTTAAACTGCATTTGGGGGAGGTACTACCTTTTTTGAATGCCTGCATATACCAGACTCTGTCCTGGATGCCCTGCCAATGATATTCAATTATTCCAGCCACTGTCTCTTTTATTTTTTAAAAAAATATTTTTATTGATTTCAGAGAGGAAAGGATAGGGAGAGAGAGAGAAACATCAGTGATGAGAGAGAATCATTGATTGGCTGCCTCCTGCATGCCCCCTTGCTAGTGATCAAGCCCACAACTTGGGCATGTGCCCTTGACCGAAATCGAGTCCGGGACCCTTCAGTCTGCAGGCCCACGCTCTATCCGCTGAGCCAAACTTGCTAGGTCCACTATCTCTTTTAAATGAAGACCATCAAAGAGATGAAGTGACCTTGCCAAGGCCAGCCAGCTAGCACCTCTGTTACTGAAGCATTTGAGGAAGTTTAGCGACCTTTGTCCCTGCTCAGGTGTATCTCTGGTCTCTCCCCCATTCTCCACCCCCCCCCCCCATCTCTGCCTGGCCACCAGGAGGTCACATCCGGCGTGTATACACACCACACGCCTACCCAGTGGTACTGGAGTCGAATAGAGGCGGCTGGGCTAGATTAGAAAGAAGCTGGCGACAGTGCCCTGGGTTTGTCTCTTGCTTCAATAGTGTTTGGACACCCCAGACCCAGGAGCACCCCTTCTTCTAGCCTCCGACCCCTCTCCATCATCTTACCCAGCCACCACCTTCTGAACCACCTCCAAGACCAGCCAACACCCTGTTTGTTTTTCTACCTTAAGTCCTTACTGCCGGACAACCATGAGCTCACAATGCATCAGCATTATTCCACCGAGGTGGAGGCTGCAGTCAGCGGCCTGGCCAGCCTGCACCTGTGGGCCCCACACCTACCTCTCTCTGGGCTTCTCCTTCCACCGCTGGGATGTGGCCCTCCAGGGCGTGGGCTACTTCTTTCTCGAGTTGGAGAAGAAGCGCGAGGGCTCCCAGCGTCTCCTAAAGACACAAACCCAGCGCGGTGGCCGCGTTCTCTCCCAGGACGTGCTGGCGCCTCCCAGGATGAGCGGGTGTGGGGGGAAACTCAGGCCGCCCCGGAAGCCGCCCGGGCCTGGAGAGGAACCGAACCAGGCCCTTGTGGAGCTGCAGGCCCTGGGTTCTGCCCGCACGGACCCTCATCTCCGTGACTTCCTCCAGAACCACTTCCGGGGGAGCAGGTGAAAGTCATCAGGAAGATGGGCCACGCCTGGCTCACCTCCGCAGGCTGCCCGGCCCCCAGGCTGGGCTGGGCGAGGGTCTCTTCCAGAGACTCAGCCTCCAGCACGAGCAGGAGCCTTTGGAGCCCAGAGGCCCTTGAGGGGCCCCTCTGCATCCCCCTGGGGTCCGGCTTTTGCCTCTCCCTGAAATACTAGCCATTCATTTTTGTTTTTCTTTTTAAATATATATATATATATATATATATATATATATATTATTGATATCAGAGAGGAAGAGGAAGGGAGAGGGGGAGAGAGAGAGAAATATCAATGATGAGAGAGAATCATTGATTGTCTGCCTCCTGCAAACCCCACACAGGGGATCAAGCCTGCAACATGGGCATCTGCCCTAACCTTGAATTGAACCATGATCTCCTGGTTTATAGATCGATGCTCAACCACTGAGTCACGCCCTAATAGCCAGTCTTTGAACCACCCTGAAACCCTGTCCCATGCATTGGACCAAATGGAAACAATAAAGCTTTCTTTTTTCTTTTTTTTTTTAAATATATTTTATTGATTTTGTACAGAGAGGAAGGGAGAGAGATAGAGAGTTAGAAACATCGATGAGAGAGAGTCATCGATCAGCTGCCTCTTGCACACCCCCTACTGGGGATGTGCCCGCAACCAAGGTACATGCCCTTGACCGGAATCGAACCCGGGACCCTTCAGTCCCCAAGCCGACGCTCTCTCCATTGAGCCAAACCGGTCTTGGCGGAAACAATTAAGCTTTCTGCAGCAAAAAAAGGAAGGAAGGAAGGAAGGAAGGAAGGAAGGAAGGAAGGAAGGAAGGAAGGAAGGAAGGAAGGAAGGAAGGAAGGAGGCTAGCTTCAGTAGCCAGTGTTTCATTGGAAGTTTCTATGAAAGCTGATTTCATAATTCAGACCAAGAGCCATAGGGATGAGTTCACTCAGTTCACAAAACTGGCGCTTCCTCTGGGTGCCCCGAGAGCCTGAAGAGGCCACCCAGGAGCTGTGTCTGCAGGCAGGACAAAAATTATTCCTACCAGAAGGCTCAGATCCCTGCTTGCGGGTGGTTAAGGCCCTCAACACAGCTGTCTGACAGCTGCAGGAAGCCCAGCCTGGATCTTGACTCATCCTTATGATTCAGCCACAGGTGCAAATATTATCTAAACCAGCACCATCTGAACTGGACTTAAATGTGGATGTTTATCTCAATTCATACCAAGACCACACCTAAAATAAGGAAAGCCACAGACACCTATAAATACCCCAGGTGACAATAACCAGGGGTAGGACCTTCCACCTACAATCTTGCTTCATCCAGTGTATGGAGTAGTCATCATGAGGTAATAGCCCTGTTCTGACTTGTTGCTGTGGAAGATCAGCCACTTTAAAGGTCCGAGGTGCCTTGTTGATTCACTAAGGAGCTTACAGGATGACATAGTTACTCTAGAACTAGGACCTGCAGGTGGCAGCCCATGAACCAGCTGGCCTGCTGCTGCTTATTTTTGTAAATAAAAGTCCATCGAAACACAGCCACACCTATTCGTTCATAGAGTGTCTATGGCTGCTTATGCACCACAATAGCAGAGTTGAGTATTATCTACAACTAGAGGCCTCGTGCATGAAATTCGTGCACCCTGGAGGTTGTTTCTCAGTCCAGCCTGCATCCTTTTGCAGCCCGGGAGCCCTCAGGGGGTATCTGATGGCTTTGGCAGGGAATGGGTCTAAGCTACCAGTCAGACACCCATAGCGCTCCTGCTATGGCTGCTGCATTTGTCAGCTGTGAGCCCAGGTAAGGGCTTCTGGCTGAGTGGCACTCCCCTGGGAGCACACTGACCAGCAGGAGGCAGCTCCTGCATTGAGCATCTGCCCCATGGTGGTCAGTGTGCATCTGCTGTCCGGTCAATTTGCATATTAGCCTTTTATTATTAGGATTATCTACAACAGTCTAGAACATCACTACAATCCAAAAAACTAGCATTGTGATTTCTGTTTTTTTTTCTTATTCCAGGGCAGAGTACATTTTTATACTGAGTTGCTTTTCGGAAAATGAATTTTTGAGCCCGACCAGTGTGGCTTAGTGGTTGAGCATTGACTTGTGAACCAGGAGGTCACATGCCTGGGATGCAGGCTTGATCCTGATCCCCAGTAGGGGGCGTGCAAGAGGCAGCTGATCAATGATTCTCTCTCATCATTGATGTTTCTCTCTCCCTCTCCCTTCCTCTCTGAAATCAAGAAAAATATATTTTTAAAAAAAATTAATTTTGAGGACTGAGTGGAGGGGATATTTTTGGCATTAGAATGACTTCATTGGGATCTCTGATTCCCCCCCCCCCACCTTCTCCTCTTTTTTAATTTGCAGGTTGAAAATGAATATGGCAGCTACTTTTCCTGTGACTATGACTACCTGCGTTTCCTGCAGAAGCGTTTCCGCTACCACTTGGGTGATGACGTGGTTCTGTTCACCACCGACGGCCACATGGATTCTTTTCTGAAGTGTGGGGCGCTGCAGGGGCTGTACGCCACCGTGGACTTCGGAGCAGGTTGGTGTTTGTAGCAACAGAAAACCCAGCTGAGGCCACGCACGCAGGCTTGGGCTTTTGACTCAGCTGATCGCTCTGGGCAGCTGTTGTGCTCAGTGGCAGGGGCCTATTGAACGAGATTCCTCACATTTCCCTTTATGGAGCTGTTAAGATTATTTTATTTCTTTTTAAAATATATATTTTTATTGATTTCAGAGAGAGGAAAGGAGAGGGAGATAGAAACATCGATGATCTGCCAGGACCGGTTTGGCTCAATGGATAGAGCGTCGGCTTGGGGACTGAAGGGTCCCGGGTTCGATTCCGATCAAGGGCATGTACCTGGTTGCGGGCATATCCCCAGTAGGGGGTGTGCAAGAGGCAGCTGATCGATGACTCTCTCTCATCGATGTTTCTAACTCTCTATCTCTCTCCCTTCCTCTTTGTATAAAATCAATAAAATATATTAAAAAAAAAAAAAAAGAAAAGAAACATCGATGATCATCATTGATCAGCTGCCTCCTGCACGGCTCCTACTGGGGATCGAGCCTGCAACCCGGGCATATGCCCTTGACCAGGAACCGAACCGTGACCTGGTTCATAGTTCAGTGCTCAGCCACACTGGCTGGGCGCTAAGATTGTTTTCTTTCAGCTGATTTGGTCTTTAGGACAGGACCTCCGTTTTCAGTGCTGGCAGGCCTAGCCTGGAACCCGGAGCGCTGTCCTCGCAGGCGCTGACTGGCCCAGCAGCTGTTCCATCTGGGAGCAGCTCTCCCCTGAGGCAGTTGCTGCTCAGGTTCCAACCGGGACACACTGCTCTTCTCTGCTCTCTGTGTCCCCCCAGTGGTGGCTGGATGCTGTGGGTTCTGTGGCCACAGGGAACTCTGAGGTCAGCCACCACCGGCTGGGTATGTTGGCCTTCAGCCCTCGAGTCGGAAAGTAACTTTCATTACCTCTGCATAACTCATAACCCTCTGAGCAGTCAGGGGCCGGAGGTGGTTTGGTGAATGCTATGGAACTGGTCTTACCTGACTCAGGAATGCCTTGTAAGGTCCCACAAATGAAAGTTCAGGGGCAGCGTGGCTAGGATTGCATCTGGGTATAATATACCTCCCTTTAGGTTGAGAGCAGCTTTTGTAAGGGACATGACGTAAAGGATCCTGAACTGAAATTTTTTTTCTTCTCTTTATTTTTTTGCTATGAAGAGCATTATTATGACCATTGAAATCTTTGAATGTGGTTAGATTATACGTAAGTTAGAATATAGGATTGTATCCATGCTAATTTTCTGGGTTTTAATATCTGTATTGTGTTTATTTAAAGAATGCTCCTGCTCTTAGGAAAAGCACAGTGAAGTATTTAGGGGTAAAGGGCCATCATGTCTACAATTTATTCTCAAATGAATTTTTTAAATATGAATCATTTATTTTTAATTGATTTTTTTTTTTTTAGGAGAGAGGAAGGGAGGGAGAAAGAGAGGGAGAGAGAAGGTGGGGGGAGAGAGAGAAATATTGATTAACTGTCTTCTGCACACCTCCTACTGGGGATGGAGCCCACAACCCAGGCATGTGCCTGATCAGGAATCAAACCAGTGACCTCTCAGCCAACTGAGCCACACAAGGACAAAATATGTATATTTTTACATGGAGAAATAAATTAATAAACTAATGTGGTAAAATGTTAACAATTAGAGAGTCTGGGTAAAAGGAATATCAGTTTTTGGTACTATTCTTACAACCTTACTCTAAGTTTGCAGTTATTTCAAAATAAAAAGTTATTAACCCCCCTCCTGCCCAAAAAAGACCAGTTGTTCAAGTAGCATAAAGACCTCACTGTTTTTCTGTCCAAGGAATAAGACACTCCATGCATGTTGCATGTCCAATACTTGTCTTCACCAAAGAAGGATTTCATTGTACTACTTTTTTTTTTTAATTAATCCTCACCCGAGGATATTTTTTTCCATTGATTTTTTTAGAGAGAGTGAAAGGGAGGAGGGGGAGAGAGAAACATCGATGTGAGAGAGTCACATCAATTGGTTGCCTCCCACATGCACCATAACCAGTGCTGGGGATCAAACCTGCAACCCAGACATGAGACCTTAATCAGGAATCCAACCTGAGACCCTTCAGTGCACAGGCTGACCCTCTATCCACTGAGCCACACTGGGCAGGCGTCATTGCGTTTTTAAAGAGATTCTTCTACATTTCCCAAACAGAAGAAGAGCAGGCTTTAAGTGAATTGCATGTTTCTAGAAACGGCTCCACTGCTCAGAGCATTTGATAACTCATCTGCAAAGAGCTGCACAGGAAGTGGCAGGCTGGTTTCCTCCTTCTCTGGCACACCTCCCGTCACAGTGATGAAAAAGCTCAGACTTCTGTCGGGAGGGCCAAATGGGAGATTATCACGAGTGTGCTGTAAGCGTTACTTGCAGGTGGGATGACAGCAGAATTACTACTGTGCGTTGAAGGACAGACCACTGCAAGGCCAGTGTACCTAGGACTCATGCCAACTTCATTGATTTGTGTGGAAGTGGGGCATTGGCTGAGGGTCAGATCATGGGAGGAGGCTCATGAGAAGAGAAACACAAGATCTGAATGCCACCTGTTGCTTCATAGTGAGAAATCTACAGCCATTAGAAAGGGATCTTCCTTGATCAGCACATTCTCTTCTGAAACCTGGCCTTACAGAGAATCCAAGACCCATTCAAGATCAAGGGGTCATGTGGCCGAAACCGGTTTGGCTCAATGGATAGAGCGTTGGTCTGTGGACTGAAGGGTCCCAGGTTCGATTCCGGTCAAGAGCATGTACATTGGTTGCGGGCATATTCCCCAGTAGGGGGCGTGCAGGAGGCAGCTTGTCAATGTTTCCCTCTCATGGATGTTTCTAGCTCTCTATCCCTCTCCCTTCCTCTCTGTGAAAAATCAATAAAAAAATATGTTTAAAAAAAAAAGGGGGGGGTCATCTGGAGGTCTTGGCTGGTGTCACTTCCACTCTGGGATGCCTGCTGTGGGCAGTGGGTCATAAGTTTGGGGCCAGGGTGTCCTCTGCTCTGGTTGGAGAGACACTACCCATGCTCTTGCTTTCCCTGATGTAAGGCAACCATGACCTCTCTGTGGAGAAATCCTTTCTCCTTTTAGAGGGGGAAGAGAGGAGCAAAGACATGGGAGGACAAGACACAGGCACCCTATGGAGTATTTACAAGGAAAGATGGAGAGGCAAGTGGCTGGTGATGTACAAATTGAAATTCAGAGGATGTTCCATTATTTGGGGATAGACACAATTAGACCACATTCATCCCTTTGATTTGTGCATTAATTGGCAAATATTTGTGTCCCTGTTACTGTGTATGACATTGTAGAGCAGCGGTCGCCAACCTTTTGGACCTCATGGGCCACTGGTTGGCAACCGCTGCTGTAGAGGAAGTGCTGGTATCTTTCGAGCAGGCCATCCTGGGGGAACATCTGGGTCAACCAGGTGTCTATGTGAAGAGAGAATCCCGTAAGACGTACCCAGGCTGTGGGGAAAGACAGGTGGGGAAGTCAGACCTGGGACTTGAACTCCCCAGGCAGTGCAGTCAGGAAAGGCCATGGGCACCTGTTCCGAGAGGAAGTAACGCTTTGTGGTCCCTCCCCACACATCCATGAGTCTGAGTGCAGCCTAAAGCTAGCTTGCCGGTCTTCCCGACCCACGGGAGTGTTGAGAAGCTCTGGAACCTCATGTTCAAATCCTTCAAAGGGCTCTTTATCTAACTTCTTGTCATTCCCAAGACTGACCTTTCTCCTCCCTCTGGTCATGTTCAGGTGCCAACATCACAAAAGCTTTCCTAATCCAGAGGAAGTATGAGCCCAAAGGACCCTTGGTAAGAACTGGGGGTGAATGTGGAGAGCCTCCTTGTACCGAACACACATGGTTGTTGAGAGAGAGAGATTACATGCAGTAGATGGGGGGAGCAGACGCATGGTTTTTCTGGCTCTGGGATTGTGGGGACATAGCCCTTTGGACACATGAGTGACAGCAACAGCAATGCTCCTGCTTGCCCCGAGGCCCTGCCCTGGAGCGGAACAGAATGGGGACTAACGCAGATGTCTTGCCTACTTCACCTCACTTGTCCTCATGGCCCTCTCCCAGGTAGTATTATTGCCTCCCTTTTCAGTGTACAGGATCGGAGTTTAGGTCTGTGTTGCCACCTGCGTTCAGACCTTGGTACAAACAGCCTTTTCTGAAACCGGCCTCTGCTTAGCGAGCGGAGCAGAACCTGCGCTCACAGACTTTGGGTGGGGCTGCTTCCTGAGATGAGGAGGCCCCAGAATATGTCCAGATTTCCTTTTCCTTCTCTAGACCAAGGGCTTGGCAGGGTCATGCCCAGGACAGCCATGAGGGCTTGGGGCCTGCTTTGCAGAATGCTTGGACACGTTGACCTCACTTTCAGTCAACCTGAGATTTGAAAACCGAAGGGTCCCTTTGGAGCTGATTATAACAATATTTTGCCATCTGATTCTTTTGCCCAATAAACTTTCCTTCTGTGCTTAAACTGGGGATGGTTTAATAAAATGTTGCTGCAACTGTCTGGTACAACTTTTCAGACATACCATTTCATCAGTGCCTGAGTTTTGAGTGTGAGCAATGCTCTCCTCACTGGTCCCCAGCTCTGGGTTAAGCAGCATATGTTGACTCCCCTTTCTACCTGTCCCTCAGTGGGGAACCTGGAGCAGTAGTTACAGGGCAATAGCCCCAACATTTGATGGTCATGACTCTAGCCTAACCTCCACTTCCCTTTCTCTTTTTAGATCAATTCTGAATTCTATACTGGCTGGTTAGACCATTGGGGCACACCTCACTCAACAGTAAAGACTGAAGCGGTAGCAACAGCCCTCCAGGATATTCTTGCCCGAGGGGCGAATGTGAACTTGTGAGTGTTCATTTCTGGAGGGAAGGGCGTCCCCCCACTGCAGTCGGCTCACAGTGAAGTACTGTTTGTTCTGTTTCCCTATAGGTACATGTTTATAGGTGGGACCAATTTTGGCTATTGGAACGGTAAGAGCAATATAACATCTGTTTGTAGAAGCTTCTCTAAAATGTTTTCTGGTGCTTGATTTTGGGGGAGAGGAGATGCCTACATTTTTTATTTTTATTTCCTATTTGTGTTTGTCGTCTGTATTTTCTACTATATAAAAATTGCCTATATAAGTTAAGAAATCATTTTTCTTTTTTAAAAAATTTTAAGGGTCATAAATTATACATTTAGGAACCTTATTGTTTTTGTTTTTTAAAAAATATATTTTATTGATTTTGTACAGAGAGGAAGGGAGAGAGATAGAGAGTTAGAAATATCGATGAGAGTCATCAATCAGCTGCCTCTTGCACACCCCCTACTGGGAATATGCCCACAACCAAGGTACATGCCCCTGACCGGAATCGAACCTGGGACCCTTCAGTCCCCAAGCCGACGCTCTATCCATTGAGCCAAACTGGTTTTGGCAGGAACCTTATTGTTTTAAAGCAGGCTGGCTAGGCAGGCCTCTGTCACAGTCTCTGGCTATAGCTCACATGGGCATATATGTTCTGCTGTGGTCTTTTTTTTTTTTTTTTTTTTAACATTTCCACCTCTGCTTCCCCGCTTAGGCCTCAGCAATCTCAGCTGGGCTACAGTTACCGACCCACTTTATTGAAACGAAAAAGCAGGGGACACAGCAAGTCACAGGTCTCCCCCTCAGCTTGCAGGGGGTGGAGCCTGGACTCAAAGTCAGGTCTTGGAAAGCTGGTCAGTGCCCTTGGGATAATCCCTTGCAGTCTGAAGCCCTGCCCTACGGTGAACGCCAGGCCTTGGAGGTGCTGTGTGGCCTGGTCTCTTAGGGGGACATGCAAGAGAGCCAGTCTGCTGCTTAGCTGCTGTCCTTCAGGCCAGCTGCTCAGAAGAGAGCTATGAGAGAAGAACATCATGAGCTCACTGTTCATCCTACCCAACATAGGTGCTCATGCATGTGCAAGTATGTGCCCCACACTCTGCCCGTGTGTGTTCCCATCTGTCTGAGGGGCTCCTGTGGGCTCCAGGCTGTCCTATTCGTCTCACACCATGGGGAGAGCTGTTTCTTTGCCTTCCTCACCCGCACTCCCTGATGTGGAGAAGAAGCTTGAATTAGCAGTTTCTCTATGACGCATGGCTGGTCGGAAGACATCCGGGGAAATGTTCTGCCGGTAGGGATGGAACAAAGACTTCCTTTAACCCACCAGACAGCTTCCCAGCCTGGGTTCCCGGGCCTGTGAAGTTTGCTTCTGGAGGGCACACGTGTTCAACCCATAGAGATCCCCTCCTGCCTTCCGGTCAGTGAGGCCACACCTGTTCTCAGGTGCCCGCGTTGTCTCCTCTGCAGCGAGAGCCCAGCCACTGCCGCTAGAGAACTAGAGAAGGGACCGCAAAGGAGAAGGTGAGCTCCTTGCAAAAAGGGATGTGGTTTTCTTTCTCATTGCTTCTCACGGCAAAGGATGTGTTTTATCATCTGTATCCCCAGCGGCGGGCAGACCTGTTGGCAGGCAGCTGTCTCTGATGAATAAGAAATGAGGGGAGTTGCTCAGTGGATTGAGCTTTGTCCTATGCACCAAGAGGTCACTGGTTTGATTCCCGGTCAGGACACATGCCCAGGTCGCTGGCTCCATCCTCAGTAGGAGGCGTGCAAGAGGCAGCGGATGGATGTTTCTCTCTCATCAATGTTTCCATCTCTCTCTTCCTCTTTGTAAAATCAATAAAAACATATTTAAAAAAGAAAGAAATGAGGGAAAGTAATATGAGGGGATCGATTCAGTTGGTGTAGGTGTTTCCAAATGCAGACTCTGTGCAGAGAACTAATGAGCACCAGTTTGGCCTGGCTCATGTGTCAACTCCACCTAGGGTGGATCCATCATTGGTGAGCTGTGGGACCATTCGAAGAATTTGTCACTAAATCATAGGCGAACTCTTGGATTTGGGGCCTCATTTACTTAACACTTGGGTTGGATGTGTTTACAAATAACATTTTTCTCACACAAGCACATTGCAAATTGCTCTCTAGTGTAGTAGAGAAAGGGGAGGCGCAGAGCCTGGCTGGTCCTGCGACAGCAGGGTCCCTGTCACCTGGGAGCCTGTTAGAAATGCCGAGTCAGGTCCCACCCGAGGCCTGCTGAGTCTGAATCCCAGGCGGGGTCTGTTTTTTTTTGGTTTGTTTGTTTTTTTAATATATTTTATTGATTTATTACAGAGAGGAAGGAAGAGGGATAGAGAGTTAGAAACATCGATGAGAGAGAAACATCGACCAGCTGCCTCCTGCACACCCCCTACTGGGGATGTGCCCGCAACCAAGATACATGCCCTTGACCGGAATCGAACCTGGGACCTTTCAGTCTGCAGGTCGACACTATCCATTGAGCCAAACCAGTTTCGGCTGGCGGGGTCTGTTTTAACAAGCTCTCCACGTGACTCTCGTGCTTGGGTGACTTCTCCAAGTACTGGCATATAGCCACGGCCAAAGTTGCACCCTGTCTCCTGCCCGTGAATATCATGTGTGACAAGGTGGCAGGACTGAGCTGAGGGCGGCGCTGGGCTGTGATGTGGTTTCACACGTGGTTTAGCTGATTCTAGAGGGAGCTCTGGGTGGAGCTGGGATGGCCCTTGGAGGCGAAGGGACCGAGTTTATATCTCCACATTGGTCAACTGTCAGGTGTGGGCGATCCCGGGAGGGCTGTAGCTGTCAGCAGGGCAGCCCAGCAAGGGCCCAGGACCAGAGAGGGCCCATCTGAGAGCCATCAGCAGCCCACACTCCCAGCAGCTGGGGAACGAGTGAGCGCCTCCGTCCCGAAGGGCAGTGGGAGAGGCATGCCAGGCAGCCTCCCTGGTCTTCGCAGAGGCCTAAGGTCACGGTAGAGCCTCTGTGGGTCCGTCCTCTGGGTGCAGGCATCTCCCACTGTGTTTGGCCTGATAACCCTCCGTGGTTTTCTGCTGGTCCTTGGCCAGGTCACCCGTGTCTTCACCACTGACCTTTTCTCAGCCACACAGTTTGAGATGATGCAAAAGACCACAAGGTTAGCAGTCAGAGACGCAGGCCATGCCATAAGCCCTGCCAGGACCGGCTTTGCTGAGCAAGTTTTGTAGAGCGTTTCAGATTCTCCGCTTGTCCCCGTGGCACTGAGGTCGGCTGGGCTCACAGCTGTGAGCTCTGCTGAGAGCAGATGAGAAAAGCGCTCTGTAGACTCCACGGTGCTTGGCCAGGGTTTCTGGTAGCAAGAAACTGATTTCTCTGAACCCTGCATTCAGAAAGGCCACCTCTGTGTGGCTCAGTTGGTTGATCATCGTCCTGTGGACCAAAGAGTGGCCTGTTCGATCCCCAATCGGGGTGCATGCAAGAAGCAATCAATTGATGTTTCTCTGTCTCTCCTCTCCTCTCTCTCTAAAAATCAATTAAAAACATTTTTTTTTTTTTTTTTTAAAGAGAAAGCAGCCAAAACTGGTTTGGTTCAGTGGATAGAGCGTACTGCAGACTGAAAGGTCCCAGGTTAGATTCCGGTCAAGGGCATGTACCTTGGTTGCAGGCACATCCTCAGTAGGGGGTGTGCAAGAGGCAGCTGATCACTGATTCTCTCTCATTGATGTTTCTAGCTCTCCATCCCTCTCTGTAAAAAATCAATAAAATATTATTTTTTTTAAAAAAAGAGAGAGAGAGAGAGAAAACAATTGGTTCCAACGTGTCCTTTATTTTCTCCCTCCATAATACTGAGCTCATGAATCCCAAAGACTCTGTCCCAGCTCAGGGCCTCCGGGAGTCACCAGTGGCACCTTTTTGCCTTCTAGGAGCCAACATGCCCTACCAGCCGCAGCCCACCAGCTACGACTATGACGCCCCCCTGAGTGAGGCAGGGGACCTCACCGAGAAGTACTTTGCTGTGCGAGATGTTATCCAGAAGGTGGGTGCTGTGTAAGGACTGCGGTGGGCTGGTCTAGGGCAGAGCCTGCCGTGGACTCCCTGTGCTCTGTAGACCAGCGGTCGCCAACCTTTCGGACCTCACGAACCATTAATAGTCCATGACTATTGGGCGACCGCTGCTTTAGACAACTTCCTAGAGCCTCTGAGTTTCGAAGGATGGTTGCAGGGACCCATCAGATAGACTTGGCCTTGAGTCTGGGCCCCAACCTGATGGGGAGTGAGCCTGCAGGCAAGTTGCTCCACTGGTCTATTCATTTGTAAAACTGGGCCATAAGCCCTGGGTGTGGTATCAGGATGAAAAAGATCCTATGTAAGGCTCCTGTGATCCACTGAGTGGCAGCCATCGCTATTATTTACACCTAAAGGTAAGAAAATGTATGTCCAAATACATAGCGAAAATGTGTCATAGAGGAAGTCCGTGGGCAGTGGAAGCAAGGTACAAATGTGAGCTGTCAGCACCCCCTCCTTGTTCTGACTGGGACGGTGTGTGCTATTGCTTCTGGCCGGGCACCTGAACTGCTTAGTCCTGCTAACACTGTGACCTTTTGAGGCATCTAAAGCACCCAGGTGGGGTTTCCTGTCTACTGTGGGTAAAAAAAAAAACAAAAAAAAAAAACCCGCAGTTTTTCTGCTCAGTCACCTGAGTTTTGAAGTTAAAAAAACACAGGTTTTCTGCCAATAAATGGTATGTCAGGGCTGGCTTGCTTTCTTTCCCTTTCTTTCTCTTTCTTTCTTTCTTCCTCTGTTTTTATTTGTTTGGTTGTTTAAGTATGCTGTCTCCATTTAAGCCTACATAGTAAAATCTATATGAAATTATGTAGTGTGTTAAACATATAGAAAAATGTGTTTTATACTTATCTAAGAATTTGTCTATGTCATCGAAACTTTCAAGTGTCTGGTTAAAAATTTGTCTATGTCATCTAAACTTTCAAGTGTCTGGTTAAAATGTTCCTCACGTGTTTTTATTGTGGGCTTGATCACTGCAAAATGTGTAATGATGACTCCCAAGCTCGTTCTTGTAGGTCTGCTCCCTTTTGAGCTGTCTGTTCCTATCTTTATTATTCCCTTCCTTTATTTGTTATACATTTCCTTCAAGTACTTCTATAGCTCCATTTCATAAATCTTAAGATTTAATATACTTCTTATCGTTTTCTTCTAAACATGCTTATTTTGATTTCTCTTTGACCCTTGAAATGTTCAGAAGTGGGTTTTTCAATTATTAAACACTACACAATTATCCAGTTTGTTGTTTTCTAACATATTTGCATCTGTTTGTAGTCCTGTGTGATATCATATACAGAATGGAGCAAAAGTAGGTTTACAGTTGTGCGAAACAATTCTTGTATTATTAGTTATTATTGTATTTTTTTCATATAAAAAACTGTAAAAACTGTAAACCTACATTTGCCCCACCTAAAGAGGTATAAATCTAAATGCAGACAAGAAAAAAGGAAGGGCAATTCAAAATCTCAGGGAAGGAAAAAGAACACAAAAGGCTTACCCTGGCTAGTGTGGCTCGGGTGGTTGATCATTGTCCCATGCACTAAAAGGACACCAGTTTGATTCCCAGTTAAGGGCACATGCCCAGGTTGCAGGTTCAGTCCCTTGTTGGAGTGTATATGGGAAGCAATCAACTGATATTTCTCTCTCTTACTTTCTTTCAATTATTTTTTTAAATATATTTTTATTGATTTTGGAGAGGAAGGGAGAGGGAGAGAGAATTAGAAACATCAATGATGAGAGAGAATCATTGATTGGCTACCTCCTGTACACCCCCTACTGGGGATCGAGTCCTCAACCTGGTCGTGTGCCCTTGGCCGGATTCGAACCTGGGGCCCTTTAGTTCACAGGCCAACACTCTATCTACTGAGCCAAACCAGCCAGGGCTGGCTTGCTTTCTTTTCCCTTCCTTCCTTCCTCTCTCTTTCTCTAAAAACCAATAAAAACAATCCTTAGGTAAGGATTTAAAAAATACATATATTTAGGAATTAAATTTAGTAGGGTTTGGCAACTGACTTAATGCAGATGAGAAAGAATAAGGAGTTGTTGATTTGTCCAGGTTATAACCTTCATTGGATAACTGAGTGGGTACTGGGGTCAGCAACTAAAATAGAGGATTGCAGAGAAGGCACAGGCTGGGGAGGGGAAGGGGGGAAGCAAATTCAGTCCTGGGCTTGTTCAGCTCAGGATGCCCCTGGTGACATCCAGGTGGAAGTATCTCTCTAGAACCTCCAGAAAGAAGTGGTTAGGACAGGCTCAGATTCTGGGGTCAGCGATGGAAGTGGAGGCTCAAGTCCAGGGAAGGCTGGGATTGGACATGGAGAGTTGCGCAAGAAAGGCGGTAGGCCAAGCAAAAGACAAACCCGGGGATCCCAGCCATATCACCAGGGGCCACAGGAAGATGAACCCATGAAGGACATAAAGACTTCAGAAATTGCCGGGACCGGTTTGGCTCAATGGATAGAGCGTCGGCTTGGGGACTGAAGGGCCCCGGGTTCAATTCCGGTCAAGGGCATGTACCTTGGTTGCGGGCATATTCCCAGTAGGGGGTGTGCAAGAGGCAGCTGATCGATGACTCTCTCTCATCGATGTTTCTAACTCTCTATCTCTCTCCCTTCCTCTCTGTACAAAAATCAATAAAATATATTTTTTTTAAAAAAACTTTGGAAATTAATATAGTTCAATAGTTGATCATAAGTTATAACTTAACCTCTAGTCATCTCTTCCCCCTTTCCTCCTGGATATTTGCTATTTTTATTTTTAGGATTTTTTTTTAAATTTAAAAATAACTCCATAAATAACTCCAGAGAGAAATAAAGTACTTTAAAAGTGGGCTCTTCTGAAATTTTGTAGATGGTCAGTTAGCTGGTTTGTTAAATGATATTCAAAATATTGGGCTTGCATCGAGAGAAACAATGGGATTATAAGTATCCCCATATCTAGCTCTCCCTGCCTCTTACCTTTACCAGAGACTTACAAAGCGGAATGTATTTCTTCTCTAATCCATTTCTAGAGTTAGTTGGATGGTGATGGACAATATCTTTTTCTCACCTGGACTCCCAGGGGTGGTAATTTTCCACGAGGCTGAACAAGCCTGTCTCAGTGATGGAAGTTCTAGGGGCCCTTTGTCATGACTTTTGAAGGCATGACAAAGCTGATGACATTTGCATTTTGTAATGTATTCTCTTTGGTGTGGGTAAACTCCGCCAGACATGGTTTTAACACTTTGACCTCGAGAGTGAACCCTCTGGGTCTTATTCATGTTGTTGCAGATGGCAAAACTTCATTCTTCTTTATGACTATTTAGAGTCAATATTCAGATAAAGGGAGGACCTATGGCCACAGCACTTACTGTTTTGACCTTGACAATGTGAAAGCATAGCTGATGGTTTGGAGGTGGGAGTAGGGAGAAGAGCTCAGGGAAGGATGTAAATAGCCTTCTCTTAAAAAAGTGTGGACACAAAGGTCATCTAAATGGATGGAACTAAGAAGCAAAGGTATAGATGTTATTTAAATCTGCAGAGCTAACCAGTAAAGAAACTGAAAATGGTGATAAGACCATGTTGGCAAGAAAGGAATAGTACAACTGAGCTAAATTCTCATGTATTGAAGAAATGGTATTTTAAATGGATCTAACAAGCCCGGCTGGTGTGGCTCAGTGGTTTTGTATCAATCCATGCACCAGGATGTTGCCAGTTCAATTCCTGGTCAGGGCACATGCCCAAGTTGTGGGCTCAATCCCGAGCAGGGTGCATGTAGGAGCAGCTGATAGATGTTGATGTTTCTCTCTCATTGATGTTACTGTCTCTGTCTCCCTTTCTCTCTCCAAAACTAATAAAAAACATTAAAAAAAATAAATGCATCTAACAAGAAATTGCAGGTAAGTATCGATATATTATTTAGAGACCAAAAGAAGCAAAAATAGGTACAAAGTAAATTATTTTTAAATGGTTTCCTCTAAAAAATATAAGAAAGTGGTGAGTCAAGAGACTATTGCTTTTCCTTATCCTCTTCTTTTAAAAAAAAAAAAAAATACTATTTAAAAAGGTAAACAAGCTGAAACCGGTTTGGTTCAGTGGATAGAGCATCAGCCTTCGGACTGATTCCAATTGGGGGCATGTGCCTTGGTTGCGGGCACATCCCCCGTAAGGGGTGTGCAGGAGGCAGCTGGTCGATGTTTCTCTCTCATCGATGTTTCTAGCTCTCTATCCCTCTCCCTTCTTCTCTGTAAAACATCAATAAAATATAAAAAATAACAAAAATAAAAAGGTAAACAAGAAGAAAGCAAGCAAGAAGGAAGGAAATGTAAGGATCCTGAAAGATCATAATGCAGTCGACTTGGAGCTGCCATATGTGCCTAGACCTTGCTAAGACCTGGGGTGCACACTCATATGTCCTGATGCTGACATGTGTGCATGCACACATATTTAATGGGGTTTAGCTATTTTTATTTTTAGGATTTTTTTTAAAATTTAAAAATAACTCCATAAAATTTTTAAAACTTACCTAAAAGTTTCAAGAATAAAAACTGTACTAAGAACACTTGTGTACTTCTTACCCAGATTCACCCATGTCAACATTTCACTCCATTTGCTTCATCATTTACCGCCGCCCCCATCTTGTGTTTTCCGAGCCACTGAAGGATTGCATCTATCATGACCCTTTATCCCTAAACACGTCAGTGTGTATTTCATAAGAATAGGTCGGAATATGCTTTTATGTAACCATGGCAATTTTAACATGGATACAACATTTTAATCTACCAGTATGATTCAATCGACAAATAATATCTGTCCTACTCTATCTAGGTTCCCTCCCTTTAGGTGCTGTGCCTTTTTCCTTCCCCAGCTCGTTTTCTGCTGCTCACTCCCCCCTCATTCTCTCTACTTGTTTTTTGCTCTGTTTTGAAATCTTGGTTCTATACTTATTGAATGATTCCTGGAGCTGAAAACACAGACCTACACAGACACACACTTCAGAGTAAAACCTTACCCAGATCCTGTCTTGGAAGGAAGTCTTTTGTTCCTTGGCCTTTTCCAAAACATCACTGGCACCGTGGCTTCCATCTGTGACCCTCCTTTGGAAAAACGAATTCAATGAATTAAAATTTTAATCTCAAGATGAATTAAATGTGTATCTGAGGGCTTAACAGCTGCTTTTCTTTTCTTTTCTTTTCTTTTCTTTTTTTTTTCACTCTGGTTTACAGTTTGAAAAAGTACCAGCAGGCCCTATCCCTCCATCCACACCGAAGTTTGCGTACGGAAAAGTTGTTCTGAAAAAGGTAAGAAAAAAATGGCAGAAACATTGAAAGTGAGGAAATGGAACTTAGACGTCAGTGAAAGTGTTAGGCTGGGGAGTCGGTGCGTTATTTTTCTGTGAATTTGTTTTCTGTGAGATTGATGTGGAAGATGGTGTTTCTGAGAAAGCAGGCACATGGAGGCAAGAGAGAGGATGTGTATGTGAGTTGACTGGGTGAGCAAATGGGTATGAGCAGGAGCAGAGAGGTGTTCTAGATCACACAAGTGATTTTGGTTCCATTATCAGTTGCCCAAAGCAGTCTCGGGAGCCAGGACACCTTGAGATTCTTTTTTGGAATTCACTGTTATTTTAGGGGGTTCTCAAAAGTCACAGACATTTTGATAGAGCTTTGTCCCATCTCAAAATCACGTCCTAATTTTTGTGGTCCATATAGTTTATTTGGTAAATGAGACATCAGGTTGGGGGGAAAGCCAGAAATCAATCATAAATAAGAGTGAGGGACCTTTTATTCCAGGAAAAGAGAAAAGGAAGAAAGGTTACGTTTAACGGTCAGGATTGACGTAAGCCAAAGTCAGTTTGTTTTGACCATCTCTGTCTTGAGGTTTTCCCCTTTTTCAATCCCTAACTCCTACATGTGATAACTCATAAGCAAGAAAGAAAGAAAAGAAAAAACAACATCAACATCTGCACAGTTCTTAAGAATCTTGATATTCTAAAATAGCATATACATTTTTATCTCGAAGCCAAACGCCAAGCATGACTGCATGATTCTTTCCATTCATGACACCCTTTGATCCTCAATGGTGGGTTGTAACTTTTTCCACCTCGTGTCAGATGCATGTTACCTTCTACCGAGAACATGACCGGTCTCTCTGCCTGATAGGCATCTTTCGTTAGGTCCGTGGTCGGCAAACTGCGGCTCGCTAGCCACATGCGGCTCTTTGGCCCCTTGAGTGTGGCTCTTCCACAAAGTACCACGGCCTGGGCGAGTCTATTTTGAAGACGTGGTGTTAGAAGTAGTTTTAAAAAAATGTGGCTCTCAAAAGAAATGTCAATCATTGTCCTGTTGATGTTTGGTTCTGTGGACTAATGAGTTTGCCGACCACTGCGTTAGATTAATAAAATGAGAATCACACTTATACAGGGAGCACCTTCTGCTCCTTCTTGAGGAGAAGTTCATTTGTGGGGTCTAGAGCCATGAGGATTTTTTTTTTATACAACAGAAAATAACCGCAATTGTTTCCTACAACGTTGTTAAAACAAATCTAGCTCAGTCCCCAGAGCACTTTCTGTGAGAGAAAATTGTGTGAACAGAAATGGTTTTTCCTTGTTAACACTGAAGAGAGCAAACCGGCATCTCGCTGAGTTAAATGTATATGGGACATCCCTATGTGGCTAAAACCTTTCACCGTGAGTGGAGTTGTCCAAGTGCGAAAGCGTCCTTGTGCGTGGCTGAATGGATAGAATTGTATTTATTTCTTTGTTTGTTTGTTTGCTTATTTATTATTTTTTAAATTTCTTTATTGGTTATGGTATCACATAATTGTCCTCATCCCCCCATTCCCATCCCAAACCCCTCCCCACGTATACCCATCTCCCCTGTTGTCCATGACCACTGGTTAGGCTTATACAAGTCCTTTGGTGGCTCTCTCCCACTTTTCTCTACCCTCCCCTGGGTAGAATGGTATTTACCTGGTAAGATGTGTTCCCCTCGGTGCTGCACATCCGCAAGGTCACCGCGGAACGGCTCATACCATTCCCAACCGGTGCCGTGCAGAGTCCTGGGTCTGGAGCCAAACCTCACTGCAAATCCTGGCTTTGCCATTGCTCAAGTGAGCTTCTCCGAGTCCCTAGCAAGAAGGCCTGCCTCGCTGGGTGGTTGTGAGGATTCAGGGAGGTGTGTGGGGCCAGTCCTGCCGCCCCTGGAGTTTTGGCAGGCACCCATGGTTGGGGAGCTGTTCCCATTGCTGTTCTTGCACCAGAATGAGCATCCTGCGTGGCAAGAATACACAACCGTTTGGGTTGAATGTGTGTATTTGTGTGGCTCCTATGCACTGGGCATTGGGGTGGTGACAGTCTGGAAAGGACACAGGAGGTGTGCTCTAGGCAAATCCCGAGGGCGCCGCCAGGGTTACTTCCCTCAGGAGGCAGCCTTGAGCCTAGGTTTTTGTTTATCTTAAGGGCCGTTTCTATGCAGGAGGTTGTCCTTGCAAACAGGTCTGTTTGAAACACTTTTTAAGATTCCCGTCAGTTACTTTTCACCCAAAGTTAGGGAACTGCGAGAGACGATTCAAGGTGACTGGGGAACAGGACGGAGTGGAATGGGAACCATTTAGGTTTATGTAGGGGGTTGGCCAAACCCACTGGCAACTTGGACCATTTACAAATGACCTTCATTCCGATGACCCCGGAGGCGTGGCAGTGAGTGAACGTGGCTTCTGTTTCTTTTCAGTTAAAGACCGTGGAGGAGGCGCTGAACACTCTGTGTCCCACGGGGCCTGTCAAAAGCGTTTATCCCTTGACATTTACCCAGGTGAAACAGGTAGGCCTTCCAAGGTAATGCTTCGTCTTTCTTCTGCTTGGGAAAATGTGCATTCTGCCCTGCCCTGCCCCGCGGTGTCTGTCCTGGGCACAGGGACCAAAATAGCCAGCGGCTAAGTCAGACCCACGGCGTCGGCGGCAGCAGCAGCGTCCCAGGCCCTCGGGGCTGTGAGGTTGCACATCAGGCTGATCTGTCCTACGCTCCCCCCGTTTCTTCTTCTCACTCAAGTACGGAGTAGCTCAACCTGCTTCAGCGTGGTGCTGCACAGGCCGTACACTGTGTGCCCTTCTCCTCTAGTTCATCTTTATTTCGAGGTCCCAGTGGGGACCCCGCTATTTTATACTCAGGAATCACAACCCAGTTATTGGTCCTGAGTTCGCAAAGTGTAAGGACGGTGTTCTTACTAGATTAGGTTCTTTGGAGATTCTCTTTCTGGCTTTTGAAGAGAACAGAAAGCAGGCACTGTGTGTGTGTGTGTGTGTGCGCGTGTGTGTGTGTGTGTGTGTGTGTGTGTTTAATCTCCAGGCGCTGCCCCATCTTTAAGAGCTTTTCCAACTTCCTGTTTTGGAAAATTTCAAATCTTGAAGAGTTGCAAGAATAGTACAACCAGCATAGCTTCCACCCGGACTCACCAAGTGGTAACATTTGCTTCGCTTGCTTTATCTTTCTGTGTTTGTATGTCATCATCTGCTAGTTTGGTTGTTTTCTTCTGTTTATTTATTTATTTATTTTTTTACTATTTGAGTTAGTTGTCACCATCATGACACTTCACCCATAGACATTATAGCATGTATCTCTTAAGGAAAAGGATATTATCCTACAGGACCACAACATAATGATCACACTTAATAAATTTGATATTGCCCTAATCCGTTTGGCTCAGTGGATAGAGTGTCGGCCTGCGGATTCAAGGGTCTCGGGTTTGATTTTGGTCAAGGGCATGTACCTTGGTGATGGGCACATACCCAGTAGGGAGTGTGCAGGAGGCAGTTGATCGATGTTTCTCTCTCATCGATGTTTCTAACTCTGTATCCCTCTCCCTTCCTCTCTGTAAAAAATCAATAAAATATATTTTTAAAGAAATTTGATATTAATGCAATCCAGTTATCTCATAGGCCTTGCATAGTTGAGTATCCCTGGTTATTCCAATAATGTCCTCTACAGCTTATCTTTTTTCAGCCCTGTTTCCAACCCATGATCATGCATGACATTGAGTGACAATGCCTCTTTAGTCCTCTCAGGAACAGTTCCTACATCTTTCTTTTCTCTCTCCCGTCACATGAACTTTTCTGAAGAGCTCAGCCCAGTTGCTTGGTAGACTGCCCTTCGCTGATTTGATTCAGCAAAAGCATTTTTGGCACAAACACAGCAACGGTGATGTGTGCTCAGGCTGCCCATGGGGTCAGCGTGTCCCTTTGTTACCATGGCTAAGTCTGACCATGCAGTGCGGATCCCAGCCCCATTTTTTGGATAGGTCTGCCCTTCTGATTTTCTGTGCCGATTGCTTTCTGGAAGGTGTTTGAATGATAAGATGGTGGGATCATAGCAAACCTGATTTTATTCTACTGTGTTTTTGCCTCCAATTACTATTCCTACACTTGTGAAATTTCACAAGCACGTTTTGCGCCAGCAACTCTGGTGTGTGATAAAGTGAATAATGAAGGTCCCCGGCCCCCTAGCCTTTCATTCACATTGGGCAGAGTTCTTTCTCTTCATTTGAGCATGCTCTGGCTGCGTGGTCGTGTCTCCATCTATACATCAGAACATGCCTTCCCCACCTGGCAGGACATGGAGCACAGGGGAGACGACACGGACCCCAGAGTTGTTGGCACTGGCACCTGGGACGTGAGCTCCAGGTTTACATGCAGACACACTCACACCGTGTTCTTTCTCGGGGCCCCTCTGCTTTCTGACCTTGGACCAAAGCCGCGCTCCCGGATGGGGTGGGGTGCACTGAGCCCTGGCTGGTCCGGGTCTGGGACAAGCCCACACGTTGTTTATTTCCAACGAAACCCATGGAGGCCGCAGCTGCGGGGAGCAGGGTGCCGCCCTCGTACGCCCCCACCCCCAGCCTCAGAGGCCTCAGCTCCACCTTTGTGGGGAGCTTCGCAGCCTCTGCTCCCCTCTCAGCAGCCTCCCCGAGTTTTCCCCAGCCTCTGAGCTGTTAAGACTTACAAGAGACAGATGGAGACTTGGGGTCCGAGGAAGGCATTCTTTAAGGTTCAGTGGTGACACCAGCGGGATTTCTCAAGTTCAGGCCTTTCCTGCAACACAGGGGCGCGGTTGACACAGTTTTCAGCTCCTCCAATTCCTATCCCTGTTGCCCGAGGTGCTTGTCCTTGCTTGGTGGGCCCTGGGAGTGAGGGACTTGGTCTCTGGTCCAGGAAGGATTTGGATTTGGATTCTTCCTACTGACGTAGGGTTTGGCCCCGCTCACCCGGGCTCCTGTCCACAGCAGGAAGGTCGCTCCGGGCCGTAAGTGCGGTTGCTGCCGAGGCTAGCTGGCTGGCTGGCTGGGGCCTCCCTTTGGAGCAGGGATACCAGCACCGACAAGTCTTTTCTGACTTAGTAGCAGGCTACACCCCTTTCGCTCACTCTCTCCGTTTCCCCCACTCCTCCACTGTACACAGTTTCTGATTGACTCTTGTTTTGTATGGTAGAGCAGATTCAGCCCGAGAACCTGGAGGACGTTTTGCCGAGCATTCTTGGCATTGCTGTTATCTGTCTCCTTTGTTTGTTTGTTTGTTTTATTTTTTGAGATGCCATGAGTAACCTTAGATGTATAGGATAGGATCCCCTTTAGTGATTCAGGGAAAATCACTGAACACATTCCAGGGTCCCGTCTCCTCACGTGGAAAAGGATGTTGAGTGAGTGAAAGACTCTTCAGGGTCCCCTGAAGTTTACTTCTGTATTGTTATTCCAGGATCTAAAATCTGGGTTGGCTCAATGATTTGAAAGTCGGCCCTTGGACCGAAGGGTCTCAGGTTCAATTCCCAGTCAAGGGCATACACCCAGTTAGTTGCAGGCTCGATTCCCGGCCCTGGTCTGGTTGCATATAGCAGGCAACCAATGTTGTCTCTCTCACCTCGATGTTTCTCTCTCTTCCCCCTTTCCACTCTCTCTAAAAAAATCAATGGGAAAAATATCCTCCGTGAGAATTAATGTACATACATAAATAAGTAAGTAAATAAATAAAAACTCAAGCCAGTTCCCTTCTTGCAGATTGAATTCTCCCCCCTCCCCTCGAGGCTAAGGAAGCATTTCAGTTCCTTATGGTTTTAGAAGCATCGCTTTCACGCAGATTGAGGGTGGGTGACCAAGTTCTCTCAAAATGAATTGCCAAAGTGATGGGTTTGTCTTTCATCCTTTTCTCACCAGTATCTTGGGTTTGTGCTGTACCGAACCACTCTTCCCAAAGACTGCAGCAAGCCAACCCCTCTCTCCTCGCCCCTCAGGGGCGTTCACGACCGGGCCTACGTCTCCGTGGACGGGGTAAGCGTGGTCTCCGGACGGTGGATCTGCCCCACGAGGGGATGTGTGGTCTGCACTTGGCTTCATGGCGTTTGAGACCTCGGTCCTCCTTTTCAACCTTAGGTGGCCTCACTCGTGCTCCATCTGCCTGATACACCCCCTCACCCTTCTTAACCTGAGGGCCCCGCCCAAGCCCCCTGCCCCCCCTTCTCGGAAACCTTTCTGGTCTCCCCAGCCCAAGGCCATCCCATGTCTCCTTGGCTTCTAGAGGACGGGGTCCTTTTTGTAGACACCAAGTGGTGACTCATTTATGAGAAATAATATTTTATGAAGAAGGACTGCTCATGACAATTACAGCTACAGTCCACAGAGAACTTCGTTTCATAACCAAGACCCACGTTAGGGTTTCCGTTCCTCTCAGCGAAAACGTCCATGTGAAAGAAGACATGAAGGGAGTAACCTAACTAAGAAAATTGGTTCAGAAAATTCCAAATTAAAATATTCCCATCCCATTGTCATCCGCTGCTTTATTTTCATTGGGAGCACGTTTCTAAGATGTGTGTGTGCTGATGGCACTTGCTTCTTGGGATTCAATCTAGGAGTTGTGTTTCTGAATGATGGTCAGAAACATTCATTTTTTTAAATCCCATTTAAAAAAAAATTAGGAACATGTTGTTGCTAAAATACCTGCTGTTTCTGTTCATTCTATTATATAATTTTTGTGGTATCAGGTATTTTGAGGTGAGAGCACTCCACCTAACTCTGATTTTTATCTTGTTTATCTGATTTTGTTTCAACTCACCATGTTGTTTAGAAGCTTTTTTTTTTTTTTTTTTTTTTTTTTTTTTAACTGCCTTTTGCGCCAGAGAACACAAAGAGGTTCCTGTGGTGGGAATCCTCCCCTGGAATTGTTTGCCTCCATTCCCCTTCTATTAAAAGTAGACACGAAGGGAAAATTCCAGCGCAGAGGAAATCAGTGTAGACCTTTTTGCTCACAGCTGCTTAGAGAGAAGGCTGTGATGGGAGGAAGTGGATCACCTGGCTGGTGGCTTGGACGAAGGGGCCATCAAAGCATTTCCTCCCAAGCCCAGTGGCTCCCCCCAAGGCAGGAAAATGCTGCTGAATTAACGTAGCGAGCTGCCTCTCTGCGGATCTTCCCACCTTAGGTAATTCTCATTTGGCTTTGAACCCACAGGTCCCCCAGGGAGTCCTTGACCGGGACAATGTGATTACTCTGAACATAACGGGGAAAGCTGGAGCCATGCTGGACCTTCTGGTGGAGAACATGGGGCGTGTGAACTACGGCCATTTTATGAATGATTATAAGGTAGGACCGGCCTTGCTGTTAGGAGTGCAAAGGTTGGCAGGACTGTGCCTAAGCCCCCTGAGGAAATTTTTGTAAATCTATTTAAATATGCTCCCTCGTTCTTTCCCTTCGGTTCTGTTCACATAGAAGCAATTCTTAAAAGCACACACACTGGCCTCGCCAGTTCGGCTCAGTGAATAGAGCATCAGCCTGCAGACTGAAAGGTCCCGGGTTTGATTCCGGTCAAGGATCAAAGGCATGCACCTTGACTGCAGGCTCCTCCCTGGCCCGGGCCCTGGTCACCAATCAATGTGTTTTTCTCACATCAATATTTCTATCTTTCCCTCTCCAACTCTCTCTAAAAATCAATGGAAAAATATCCCTGAGGATTAAAAACAAAACAAAACACACACACACACACACACACACACACACACACACACACACTGTAGCCCTGGCCAGTGTGGCTCTGTTGGGCGTTGTCCCAATACCAAAAGGGTGCCAGTTCAATTCCCTGTCAGGGCACAAGCCTGGATTGCTGGCTTGATCCCCAGAAAGGGTCATGCAGGAGGTTGCCCATTGATGTTTCTCTTTCACATGGATGCTTTTCTCTCTCCCTCTCTCTCTAAAAAAAAAGAAAAGAAAAAAAAAGTAAACTTGAATGAATGAACCTGCCCTGATTTGTTTTGCAGCCTAGAAGTTGGGTTGTTTTGAAGACCTGTTTTCTTCTGCAGACAGAACCCTTCCCTTGTGTTTGAGTTCAGCCATCCTGTAGAAAGAAACAGCAAGAGGAAACCACTCCGCTGTGCTCTTCCTTTGCTTATAAAACCCACCCGGCTTTCAAGAGGCACTCACTTGCCAACAAAGTCAGCTTAGCCTTGGGTCTGTTCTGCTTTCTGGGTGTGGACCATCCATGACACTCTTCACTGTGCAAACCCCTGGTGCCCTGCCTCTCGCCTCTGCTGGTTACCATGTCCAGGTGTCTAAGCCAAACATGTTTTTCTCACACGTATGTTTAAAGCATTACTCAACAAACCTTTGTTAAGCTCACACTCTGCGAGGTGCTTTGGGATGTAAAGGTGTTGAGGTAGATCCTCTGCCATCTCACCGTGTGCTAGAAGAGAAAAGGCCTGCATGGAGGGAATGATAGCGCCACCCAGTCTAGGACAGGATGGGTGCCTGGGGCTATTTCCTGTCTCTCTTTGTGACAGCTCAGAGCGAAGGCAATGATAGTCTTAGGGAATGGCCATGCAGGGGCCACCTTTGTCTCCAACAGAAATGTCCCTGTGCTCTAGCTGGTTTGGCTCAGTGGACTCAGCATCAGCCTGTGGACTGAAGGGTCCCAGGTTCAATTCTGGTCAAGGGCACATGCCCAGGATGCAGGCTCAATCCCCAGTAGGGGGTTTGATCTATGTTTCTCTCTCATCGATGTTTCTAACTATCTGTCTCTGTTCCTCTCTGTAAAAGATCAATAATATATATATATATTTTTAAAGAGAAGAGATGTCCCTGTTGGGGACTATAATCAGTGGCCTTCCTGCTTGGCTCTCAACAGCCACACTGACCCATGGAGTGACAGGAATGCTAATGTAGTCTCCGGGTCCCCAGTACACAGGTGCCTGGCTAATGTGTGTTGCATTACTCTGTGAGCGTGGAGGCTTGCTATTGAGAGATGGTCTGAGACAGATTTGGGATCTCCCTGGGGATGGGGGTGATCTTCCATGTAAAAGGCCAAGAAGGGGAAGTTAGACACCTGCCCCCTGCCCTCATTGGACAAACAGAGTAGCTTCAGAATACACCTCTGAGGATCGCCATCATCACCACTGCACTTTCTATGCCTCGATGGATTCAGTAGCCACACTTTCACGTCTACAAGTTACCCACAGTCAACCATGGGCTAAAAATATTAAATGGAAAATTCCAGAAGCAATTCCAGCTTTACAATGCAAGTAATGTGATGAAATCTCATGCTGTCCTGCTCCATCCTGCCTGGAATGATCCCTTTGTCCAGCGTCTCCACGCTGTACACTGATAGCTCACCAGTCCCGTAGCAGCTAAGTTATCAGATCTACTGTTATAGTATCACAGAGCTTGTGTTCAAGCAACCCTCATTTTACTTTCTAATGGACCCGAAGCACAAAAATACTTATGTGGGCAATTCTGATATGCCAGAGAGAAGCCCCAAAGTGCTTTCTTTAAGTGAAAAGATATGTATTGCGGTGGGCATTTTCTCTATTTTCTGAGTCCCGCACAGAAAACGACGGGTTCTTGAATGGAGGAGCTGGGGATGAAGAAATTAGAGAAAGAAAGAGACAAGAGACAGAAATAGATTCATAAAGCTGGGAGATAGGTGGGCGCCATCTCTCTGATGGAGAGACAGTCACACTCACCACAGACAACACAGCATATTTATTGGCTTCCAAAGGGGAGTTTAAGGTCAAAAGGAGTCTTGGGCGTGCCCAGATCCTATTCAGCAAGATCTGGGTAAGTCAAGGTCCTATTTGTTCCTCATTCCAAGCACATGGATAAAGATAAGAAATCAGTACTGATAACAGGATTCTGCCAGTGTCCTCTGGCTCAACTGATAAGAATTAAAAGAATGTCCATGTGCCTTCCCAGGGCTCTCTACAATGTATGTATGTATGTTTCTATGTTTCTATATATGTATGTATAGGGGAAAACATACTACCTGCGGTTTCAGGCATCTGCTGAGGGTCTTGGAACACAGTGTGCTCATGTGTAGTACATGACTACACATAAGGACTAGTATCTCATTTACTAGTCCTTACACCAGGTGAGTGGACTCAGATGTGATCATCCTTGTAGGTGCTGCTGAGGAGTCCAAGGTCTAGACTTGCTTACTCCAGGTTACATGTCAGGGGCAGGGTCTGTCCACTCCATCCACAGTGAGCTGCATGTGCTTTTGTATTCCTCAGATTCCATCTTCTCTTCCCTTCTAGCAAGGGCTCTGCTGAGTCAAACACTGAAGATTGGGGGCTTGGGGTTGAAAGCTCTAGTAGCTCAACCCCCTTTCTGGGCCTTTTGCGGGACACCTGGCCTGCAAAGGAGAGAGAAAGCTGTGGTTTGGGAAGCAAACGTCTTTCCAAGGAGATGTGCTTCTCCCCTAGCCAGATCCTGTGCCACGTGGGTGTACGCACCGTTTGAGTCTCGTGTACTGTGACTGGTGTTTCCTATCCCAGTTTGCTTTTCCCAGGAACTCAGGGCTGGAACACAGACACTTCATGCCTTTTCCTCCCCACCCCAGCTCATTGCTCTGTTTCTCCTTTGCAGGGTCTGATTTCTAACTTGACCCTCAACTCCAGTAACCTCACAGACTGGGCGATCTTCCCGCTGGACATTGAGAAGGCTGTGTGCCACATGGGTGGCTGGCACGGCAGTGACAGAAGCCACCGCAGTGAAGCCCATGCCCACTCATCTAACTATACCCTCCCGGCCTTTTATGTGGGGAACTTCTCCATTCCCAGCGGAATCCCAGACTTGCCCCAGGACACCTTTATCCAGTTTCCTGGGTGGACCAAGGTACGTGTCTTCATAGGAAGTGTTTGAATTCAAGCCTCAGGTATCTGGTTTTTAGTGTTTAATAGAGTCAAGCCCTAACCGGTTTTGCTCAGTAGATAGAGAGTTGGCCTGTGGACTGAAAGGTCTCAGGTTTGATTCCAGGCAAGGGCATGTACCTTGGTTGCAGGCACATCCCCGGTGGGAGGTGTGCAGGAGGCAGCTGATCGATGTTTCTAGCTCTCTATCCCTCTCCCTTCCTCTCTGTAAAAAATCAATTATATATATATATATATATATATATATATATATATATATATATGTTATTATTATTATTATTTTTAAGGCAAATCGATAGAGACAAAAAGTAGATTAATGTTTGCCAGGGGCTGATAGTGTGAATGGAGAGTTGACTGCATGGTTATGGAGTTTCTTTCTGGGGTGATGGAAATGTTCCAGAATTCAATTGTGGTGATGGTTCCACAATCTTCTTAAATGTATTGAGACTTGTCTTATGATCCAGCATATGATCCAGTATGTTTTGGTGTGCGTAGCTCTGGAGTTTTAAGCTCTAATATCCTCTCTCTGGCCACGTGTTTCTATTCCCCAAACTCTCATGCCTCCGAAGCCTGCTCTTGGATTTTACTGCTGACCTGAAACTTTCCACCATTAGGGCTGTGATTGCTTTCTATCCAGTCCAGACATCACCACTCTCCGTTTCTAAGAGCCATCCATTAATTCCTTGTCTCCTTGTTCATCCTCCATCTTGACTGGGTCTACCATTGGCCTTTACTGGCTCACAGTAACGGGGACTCCCAGGGACCTCTCCAGTGCATTCATCAGGCCCACGGTCCTCTCACTCTGTCCTGCCTCTGGAGGCCCGGGTCAGCCTCTTCCTCCTCCTCAGCTGGCCTTGCTAACCTTCCCCACTCTCCTTAGGCCACCTCCCCCACAGAGGACACACCCTCTGGTCTGCTGTCAGGTGTGACTCCTTTGTTCCCTCCGCTTCCTGTCATTCTTATCTCTCTGCCTCCACCTCACTTCCTGCCCAGTGGCCTCTAGGAGGAAGTCTAAGCTCTGAATCCCCTCCCCACCTTCCTCCAGGCTGAGACCCCTTCTCATACTCCCCACTGCATATGTCAGCCTTTCCCTTTCCCTCTGCCAAGTCCTGTGTTGCAGCCGAGAAGTGATATTTGGGGTCTCCAGGACCTAAAAACGAAGCAGAGCCCTCCTTGGATGTACCAACCCTAGCTAACAGGCTTGTTCCTGTTCCCTTGCTCCCCTCCTTTTCCCCTCCTCCCTCTTGGGGTTCTGCTGTATCTTGAATTCCCCTTGTTCATGCTTTATTCATTCCCTCACTCTGCTCACCTAGCCATCACATGTTCACCTGTCAAGACAGACATGAACTCCTCTAGGAAACCTTCCTAGACCCTTAACCCAGAAAGGACTGGTCCCGTCCTCCTTTGAGGCCCTCTGTGCCCCCCCTGGACTCCATCATGATGCTTTATCACATGTAGGTCGGGACCTCGATTTCACCCACTGAGTCATAAGTTTCAGGAGGGGGATTTTTTTAAGTGCCGTGCTTATTCACCACCCTGCCCTCCTCCTGCACCTGAGCACTGTAATTGCTTTTTTCTTTTTTCTTTTTTTTTTTTAATTTCAGCCCTGACCAGTTTGGCTCAGTGGCTAGAGTGTTGGCCTGTGGACTGAAGGGTCCCAGGTTCGATTCCAGTCAAGGGCATGTACCTTGGTTGCGGGCACATTCGGTGGGGGGGGGTGTGTGTGTGTGTGCAGGAGGCAGCTGATCGATGATTCTCTCTCATCGATGTTTCTAACACTATCCTTCTCCCTTCCTCTCTGTAAAAATCAATGAAGTTTTTTTTTTTAATTGCCATGTTTGCAATCATGAACAAGAGCTACATTTTTTTTTTCTAAAAATTGATTTCAAAGAGGAAGCGTGAGGGAGAGAGAGAGAAAAAAATATCGGTGATGCGAGAGACTCATTGATCGGCTGCCTCCTGCACACCCTCTTACTGGGGATTGAGCCCGCAACCTGGACATGTGTTCTTAGCTGGAATCAAACCCGGGACCCTTCAATGCTCTGTCCACTGAGCCAGACCAGCTACGGCTGTAATTACTTTTAGATTAAAAAGGGGCACAGATGCCTGGGTTGCTGAACCCTGGGAAGGAAGCAAATGGGAGTGAGGAGGGTCTTCGCTGGGTGCTATGGATACAGGGCTAAAGCAATGAGAAGACCCAAACACAAATCATTGCTCAGCAAGTGGCATCAATTTAGTGCTTTAAGAGAAAGAATTTTGCAGAGATGCAAATCAGAAAAAGGACATGTCTGTGACAGGGATTATCAGAAGCCCTGGGTGGCTCCAAGGGAGCTTGAAACAGACCTGAAGGACAGAAGGCCCTTCATCAGAATTTGTCAGGGAAGGGTTTTCAGATGGAAGAGTAATAGAAGCTAAGGTGCAGAAATGGAAAAGCAGGGGGCGTTTTGGAGGTCAGAGGGGGTTCACCGTGGCCAGGTCATAAAGGAGTCACACTCAAGAGTGACAGACCCAGGCATTCTGCTCAGAACTGTAGAGGCGCTATCTCCATAAACATCAAGAGTGGCACATGCGGTAGGATGTCTGTCATTATCTCGTTTGCAGATGAGCAGATAGAGGCTCAGAGAGGTGTGAGGTACGGAAGTAGGTGGGGGAACAGCTCCCTGAGGCCCGGGTCTGTCTGACTTGGAGGCCCACATGCAAAGGCAGGCAGCATTGAGCAAGGCCTCAAAGACCAACGAAGAGTCTGTGCTAATCCTCTAGGCCTGTGTTTCCCAAACTTTTGACATATGTGTACCCCTTCTATAATTTTCGTAACGCTGAGTACCCCTCGTACTCATGAGAACGTAGAATTAGGCGCCGCTAAGCACGGTGCAGTGCATACCCCCACCAAACTCTTCCCGTACCCCTGGGGGTACGTGTACCACACTTTGGGAAACACTGCTAGGCTCTTGACTGGTTTCATCAGTCTAACGAATGGTCTGCATCTTCATGCTTCAAAAGTACCTATATACACAATATTATTGAATGTGTCTGTGGGTTCAGAGCCCCCAAGTCCATCTAGTCCATATATTCACTCTAAAACTCATATACAAATGTTCACACCAACTTTATCCCAAATTGCCAAAAGATGGAAAAACCAAATGTCCATCAACCAATGACTGAATAGACAAAATGTGGTATATCTGTATAATGGACTATCATTCAGCAATAAAAAGAAATGAAGTACTAATACATGGTACAGCCCGGGCTGGTCTGGCTCAGTGGATAGGGTCCCAGGTTTGATTCTGGTCAAGGGCACATACCTGGGTTTAGGGCTCCATCCCCAGTAAGGGGCGTGCAGGAGGCAGCCGGTCAATATAATAATACATGGCACAACATAGATGAACCTTGAAAATATGTTAAATAAAAGAAGCTAGTCACAAACCATACATTTGGTATGATTCCACTTATATGAAAAGTCCAGAATTGGCAAATCTATTGACACAGGAAGATTCCTGGTTGCCTAGAGCAGAGAAAGGGGAGAAGGGGAGGTTTGGGATGGGGGGTGGGGACTCACTGCTAAAGGGTGCAGGGTATTTTTTTGGAGTGATGAAAATATTCTAGAATTAATTGTGGTGACAGTTGCATAGCTCTGTAGTATGCTAAAAACCACTGCACTATACAGTTTAAATGAGTGAAATTGTATGGCTGTAAATTATATCAAAATAAGGCTTTCTACACACACACTCTCTCTCTCTCTCTCTCTCTCTCTCTCTCTCTCTCTCAAACTCACACACACACACACACACACACACACACACACACACACACGCACACGCACACACACGTGTATGCCCATCCACAGGATTCGTGGACCGGGTTGTGCAGGTCTGAGATGAGAGGACATACATACAACAGACGTAAAATGGAGCATCTGTGTTTTTCTGACTAGCAGTGTCCTTGGTGCTGAGGGCTGCCCCTGACCAGCTCCTGATCAGCACGCACAGAACAGACAGAGCCCACTCCCCCAGGGCGCTGAGTGCTGACTGTAGGGGGTGGGGAGTGAGGATGGACCCAGTGACCATTTCTAAGACTCTGTCTCTGGCACACCCGCCCTCCTCCATCAGGGCGGCCCTGACAAGGCTCCTGCTTCCCGCCTCTTGGCCTGTGCTGTTCACTTGCTGTAAAGAGATGACCTTGATTGAGTGAATGAAGCCACTGGTAAGAGTGATTCATGAGATAAAAAAATCTCTTCTGATCACTCTGGCTCTGCTCGTGTCGGATGTGGCTTTCTGGTTAAATGCCTGAACGTCAGCTGGGATTTTGGTGGGAAGCAGTCAGGCATGGTTTGCTGTAGCCAAGAGACACAGGCCAGAGCTCTCTTCTGACCGCAAACTCCCAAGATAGGCGCGCTTGGGCTGTGTTCTGCCAGTGCAGCGGCGTCTGCGCTGCTTCTCTCTCCCTCACACGGTGTGGCTAAACCGCACGTGAATGTGCGCCGCAGCCTTCCTGCGTTTTTCCAGCCACTTGTAGGCTCGGGGGTATCAGAGTATGGCCCACGTGTCCTCAACCAGAATTATGCTTTGAAAAGCTAAGAATCAAAATATACTAAAACCAATTTTATTTTTTTTTTAAATATATTTTATTGATTTTGTACAGAGAGGAAGGGAGAGAGATAGTCAGAAACATCGATGAGAGAGAGTCATTGATCAGCTGCCTCTTGCACACCCCCTACTGGGGATATGCCCTCAACCAAGGTACATGCCCTTGACCGGAATCGAACCCGGAACCCTTCAGTCCCCAAGCCAACGCTCTATCCATTGAGCCAAACCGTCTCAGCCTAAAACCAATTTAATTTTTTTAAAGGCAAACAACACCTTTTTCGAAATGTAAAAATAAAAAAAAATTTTAAATCACGAAATAAAAGAGTTTTTAGCCAAAACCAGTTTGGCTCAGTGGATAGAGTGTCGGCCTGTGGACTGAAAG